TGGAAAGACAACAGATGAAACTGGGTACTCTGTTGTAAAAAGAGGCATATTTCAACACAGAATTATACAAGTCTTTTATGCTTTCTAAAATAAGCTTTCATGTTAGTGGTGTAAAGGTGGTGTAGTGTAGACAGGTAGTGGTGCTCCATTTACGTCATCTAGGTCACTCGATTTTCAGTTTCTTCGATAATTGCACACCGCATTGACGATTCAAATGCCAAATGCGATGTATTTTTATCATTTTTTTCAAAAACATCCTAGCCTTTATATTCAACTCGACAGAGACTGCATGCAGACTTTACTTGAGAATATTCTTAAACCTGACATGCATACTGCTGAATTACTAGAAATATAGGGCTGCTTCATGTAAAGGCTCTGATTAGCTCAGTTTGCCCTACCTGCACATGACAACAAGATCAATTTGGCGGCATTTAGTGATGGCAAAAAGTAATTACCTGTGGACGAAAAGGAGGCTTTTCTCTACTCCTGACCCGTTTAAGAATTTCTTCCACTGCAATATCTTCTAGTCCATATGGCTTTGTCTGGTAGAAGACTTCATGCATTATTATGGCGAATGCATAGACATCTCCCGACTTGGTTCCAAACAAAGCCGCTGTCTCATCGCGCAGCAGTTCAGGAGAGGTCCATAATTTCTCTGGAGATTAAAAGCAATTACAGTAGGTGCTGACTGCAACTAACCTTCAGTTTTGATTGAGGGACAGCTGCCTGTTAAGTTATAGATTTTGGGAATGCCAAAGTCGGTGATCTTTAAGACCCATCGGCAAGTGACAACGCAATTGGTTGATTTTAGCCTCCCATGGGCCTTAAGGCTTGTGCTGTGGAGGTATTCCATCCCCTTGTAACACCCGATTGAAGGCAATTGTACAAATCAGAAATGAGATGTATTTTTTAAGCGACAGTGGATAATATGCACTCACCCGAACAAAGTCGGTCATGAGGGAAAGCTTGAAATCCCAGTCAAATGTGAAGCTTTTGTTGCTGATAAGGTCCTATACAAGGAAGCGCGGTAACGAGTAAGTTAATGAGAAGCTTTTGCTTCAATAGGGTGGGTTTAAGCAATCTTATCGAAGAATTCTTTTTGCCGAAATGAGGAGAAAAGCAACTTCGACATTCAGCATACAGCATAGATGAAGGTGCGTCAAATATAATTGCATGAAGGGTTTGTTGAACATTGATAAAAAGTGTGAATGAAACTCTTTTGGTTTTAGTGAAAACACAATTGTGTTATAAAATCCACAGAAGTGCAGCTCTCGCCAGGTTTGATGTACATCATTTGGAAAAGGTGTGTGCTTCGGTCTCTCAACAGCAAATGCGAAGATGCATCGCCTTCGGTGATATTTTGCGTTCTCGATGATGAAGTAAACATTCCGTAGTCATTTGTAATAATTAGAAAGAATTGTGGCAAGATCTATCTATTCAGTAAAGTATAAAGCAAAATTCTTGAGAAAGTGCTGGGACAATCATTGGTTGGAATCAAATCCCCATTGTCATTATTGAGCGACAAACCAGGGCATTATCACCTTACACCGCATATCGAATTGCTGATCTGTGGGAAGATGTGTACTGGAGGAGTAGGGATGAGACTAAGTAAATGAGGCACTGCCTCGTGTACATCCTCCTCTCGCCTATTTCTCTTATAGCATTTCTCCTATTGATGGGTGTCACCATCATTTGAATCAGTTTTGGACAAACACATGACCATATATGGAACAGAATAGAAAGCGAGGTGAATGGGCCAGTATTTTACATCAAAGAAACACACAACACTTATGCACATCATTGCGGAAAAGATTGTTTATGAAGATCCTAAAGGACAGTAGAGATGTTCTTATTTAATTGTGCGGAGGCGCTTGACATTCTGCCGTTCCTGGATTGACTAACTGCCCTAAATACCTATCACCACCAGGTCAAGGACCTTACACTTCGTGCTACAGCTTACACAAACTCATTGCTAAATCGTTGAGATTATCAAAGTCATGCAAGTCTGAGACTAATCGCGAATGAAATCGACGATTTAATTGGTCATTTTTGCAAAATAAATTGAGGAAGTCGTGTGTTTTCACCTGAAGGCATCCCCGATGGCAGTACTCATAAACAAGACTGAAGGAGTCCGGCGTCACACAGCACCCCATAAAAACGTTGATATTCTCGTGTTGAATTTCTCGCAGTACTGTAAGGTACTCAATTAACTTTGAACGCAGTAGAATATGAGATAAACCCAATTCTTTAACGTAGACTTGAACGCCCTAGAGCAAAACAAACAAAGTGAAAGAGACTTTAAAACTCTTAGGCATATGTTATA